GCGCAGATAGCCCTCGTGTAGCTTTGCGCGAAATTCCAAAACAAACAAACAAATTGTTTCAAAAGAATTTTGCATTGTAGCGTTATTCACTGAATTTATTAATTCTTTCAAAATTGACGCCTGAAAAATTGTTGTATTGTTAAGCACATTTTTATTATGGTTATTTGGATTTGGAAGCTTAAAGTGAATGTTTCGTTTTTCCTTAGCGAATGGATTAATATGAGACCTCATGCTTGTATTGTAAGTATGTGGCTGTATATAGTACCTTCTTTCGTTTTTTTTCTCACATTTTTACACTGATTTTTTTCACTCTATCTAAAAGGATCCGTCGTGCCGCCCACTATGTTGTGAACCTTCGCTACTTCGACCTTTTCATCATGATCATCATCTCACTTAGTAGTATAGCTCTAGCTGCCGAAGATCCTGTGGTAGAGGACTCTGAGAAGAACAGAGTTCTTAATTACTTTGATTATGCCTTCACTGGTGTATTTACGATGGAGATGGTACTTAAGGTAAATAATTAAAGCTCAGTTTTAAAATTTCTCAGAGGAAGATTTTCACTCTTAAGGTACTGAAACCTGATTATTTTTTAATCCATTAACACTGTAATGTTTTCGACCGTGTACATTTATCTATGAAAGATATGAAACATGACTGTTGCAGGAAAACGAAACAAAACTTCAAATGAAAGCAATACCTTACGGAAATCCGAGTGTAATTGGTATGAATATACATTCAGTTTAACTTGTATTTCTGTATTAAAAATAAGAAGAAAGGTATAATGTATCAACTGGAAAGTCGCAAAATATTAAACAAATTTACCAAATGTACAAAATTCAAACTATGACAAATGGGATACTGAACAATTACAGAGCACCGTCACTTCAATTCGTTTACAGCTGAAGAACGATGGGCGGACGTGGCCTACTTGTTAGCTTGCTAGGACTGGGAATCCGAGAAAAATGATTTGTGCACTCCGTACTTTGGGGTCGTCGGTGCGTTATAAGAGTGAAGGTCAAATCCCATTGCTCGATCAAAAAGAACTACCCGAGAGATGTAGGCGGGTGCTGTTCACTAGCTGCCTTCCTCGTTGTTTATCACTTCAAAGTTAGGGACAGCAGTGTAAGTTTGCGTGAAGGAAACACAGGAAGTATTAACTAAAGATCGAAGACTAACAGATTCTGTCTGTAATCAGATTTGTTCTTCTTGCGTAGAAATACACTCCTTATGCTTGATATGGATCCTGTATACGAATAATTATATTCAAATTCCACATTTCCTAAGCAAGCTACAAGTAATAACAAATTATGAGAGAAGATTAAATATTTTCCTCGGTTTTTCTTTTCAAATCTTTGCTCTTACCGGTGCACAGGTACTTATGTAGTCCTAATATCCGTTAGGCAGAATCGTTTTTTAAAAATTTATCGAGTAACATTCTCGTGTCCTTTGATTTTGTGTGTGTGTTTCTTGTTGAACAGAGCCTACAGAAAAAACTGAGGTTAGATCGAAAGGGTCTATGCAGTTATATATTGTGATTACTACTTAAGTATAAAAGAATGGGGTAGGAATGGAATGATATGTAGAAATCAGAAAAGAGATTCGAAGACAATTCAACTATGGTAAGAACAAACTATGATATTGTTTCAAATAGAATAAAAAATGTATGAGAAACAGAGAGGGAAAATACCAGATTTGCTTAGAAAACCAAGAAACGATAATATATATATATGCATGAAATTGAAAGTTAATGTAATAAAATATACCGATGAAAAAGAATTGGTGACAAAATGAAATGTGCTTGGAAATTGAAAATATTAGAAGAAAAGAACCTTATACGAAATTTGGACATAACTGGTTAAGGGGTTAAGACATTAATGGCAACATTTCTCTACGTGGTACAATATGTTTTTGTACATAACTGGTTAAGGGGTTAATACATTAATGGCAACATTTCTCTACATGGTACAATATGTTTTTGTACATAACTGGTTAAGGGGTTAAGACATTAATGGCAACATTTCTCTACGTGGTACAATATGCTTTTGTACATAACTGGTTAAGGGGTTAAGACATTAATGGCAACATTTCTCTACATGGTACAATATGTTTTTGTACATAACTGGTTAAGGGGTTAAGACATTAATGGCAACATTTCTCTACATGGTACAATATGTTTTTGTACATAACTGGTTAAGGGGTTAAGACATTAATGACAACATTTCTTTACAACAGTATATTGACCCACAATATAAAAACAATTTAGTAAGCTGATGGTAAATGGGAGTACATAAATGCTATTAAACCTGTTATTTCCACCTTTTGGACCGTTTAATGGGATATGATTGAAACAAGCACTTGTCTTTTATATACCTATTATAATGTTAACTTTTTTTTTCTCTGATGATAGGTAGTTGACCAAGGCATCGTCTTTCATCCGGGATCTTATTGTAGAGACCCGTGGAACATATTAGATGCCATTGTTGTCATTTGTGCACTCGTTGCCTTCGCATTTGCGTAAGTGTTAGTCATATTTTAAGTGTTCTTCATAGTACTTGTAACATTTTTTTGACATTTAATTGACCATCCAATCAATACTAGATTTTTTTAAGATATACGCATTGCTTGAAAATATATGATAAATGAAAAACATGCCTTCGTTATTATTATACAATAGTTTGTAGAGTGATGTTTTTAATAAAACTATCCACTAGTGGATGAAATGATTTTTTTAAAGTTAATTAATCGGTAACACTAGACATAATGATATATGTAGTTTTATAAAATCATTTATATATGAAACGCTTAGATTGTAAACCAATATCAATTAGTCTCAAAAAGTCTAATCACCCTTACACTGTTTTGGTAATATCAGTATTTCACGTTAAGCTTATGAAGAATAACTCAGTTGTTAAAGCTTTGTTATCATTTTAATAAAATTACCCAAGCTTGTCTAACAGCCTTCAGTTGTATCAAGCTATGTATGTATATATATTGAGAGATAATATAAGAATATATCTGTATAAACAGACATATATAATATATAATACACGATTACAATATAATTGCCACGTGTTTCAAATTCAAGAAATAAACAGTTATAGAGATCTAGATTTTAACATGTGGGTATATTTACTATTAACGTTTTATGAATTATAATTTTATGTTTATGCACGCCACCAGGGGAAGCAGCACAGGGCAAAATCTGAGTACAATCAAGTCTATGCGGGTTCTTCGAGTTCTTAGACCACTCAAAACTATCAAACGTGTTCCCAAACTGAAGGTAGGCATATTACAAACTAAAGGTAAACACATTCCAAAATGAAGGTAAGCCATATTACAAATTAAAGATAAACACTCCAAACTGAAGGTAAGCCATATTACAAATTGAAGGTAAACACATTCGAAACTAAAGGTAAGCCATATTACAAACTAAAGGTACGCACATTCCAAACTAAAGGTAAGCCATATTACAACCTAAAGGTAAACACATTCCAAACTGAAGATAAGCCATATTACAACCTAAAGGTAAACACATTCCAAACTGAAGATAAGAACATTCTAAGTTGAAGGTAAGCACATTCCATAGTGAGAGTATATATAATCAGATCATAAACTAGAGGTACAAGCAGACGTCTAACTTATGATATCAAAAAATATATACATATATGAGTAGTGCTCATTAAAATAACTTAGATAAATCAGTGAATGATAAATTAAAATCCTATTCATACTTTGTTTTTATTATGAGAAGACTGTATTCTGGCAATGAACTGAGTTCTATAAAGAAAGGGGGGAGCTAGCTGTTTGTTGTTCGTCTCATGATATTGCGTGACGCTAATGACTTAGTGCAATCAGTTCTCTGTTACGTACTTGATAAAGTTCCCGTGGAAAGACTGTGGTAACGTTTACTTTAATAATTGAAACGACCCTGAACCCAGTGGCTTCTTAATTGTAAGTATCTTTCTGTTAGATCTGTAAATTGAACGACAGTGAATCTTATCACATACCTAGTTCTTTGTGGTCAAATAAGAAACATTTTGGTTTTTACTTTCAGTAAAACACTGCATAATTTTTATTCTAATTTAACATCTCCCTCCACCTTTTTTAAAACACATTTTAGGGTTCCTTAGTTCTGTATTATGTGTTTTTTTATACACTGCCTTGTCTTTAGCTATAAGCATGTTCAGCTTTTCTCTTTTTTCTTTCTTGGTCCGGCATGGCCAGGTGGTTAGGGT